GTCAACAAGTCAATGCCAACAACTTCGAGCTCAAGCCGGCCCTCGTCAACATGGTCCAGCAGAACCAATATGGAGGCTTGCCGCACGAGGATCCCAATATCTATTTGGCCACTTTTCTGGAGATTTGTGACACAGTGAAGATTAATGGAGTGAGTGTCGAGATCATCCATTTGAAACTCTTCCCATTTTTCTTGCGAGACCGGGCTCGGTCATGGCTTCAATCTTTACCATCAGGGAGTGTAGCCGCATGGGAGGACATGGCCCAAAAGTTCCTCATCAAATTCTTTCCGCCCTCCAAGACGTCTCAACTGAGGGCCGAGATTACTCAATTTTGGCAGTTTGAGTATGAACAATTATATGAGGCGTGGGAACGGTTTAAAGAGATGCTCCACAAGTGTCCTCAACACGGTATTGAGGTATGGTTCCAAGTTCAACTTTTCTACAATGGGCTTACTAGGCAAACTAAGGCTCATATTGATGCAGCGGCTGGTGGAACCATCTTGTCAAAGATACCCGGGGATGCACTCAATCTCTTTGAGGACATGGCAATGAATAGTTGTCAATGGCAAAACGAGCGGTCCACTGTGAAGAGAGCAGTAGGAATTTATGATGTGGATCAAACGACGTCTCTCATGGCTCAAATGGCGCTCTTGACTAATCAAATCCAGGGACTTACCGCAGCTAATGCCAATGGTAATCAAGAAGCTGTAAAGATGGCACAAGCTTCGAGCTCAAGTGATTCATATGATGAGCAATGTCACTTTGTCAACCGTAGCTACAATTTTAGGCCCAACAATAACTTACCGACATACTATCATCCCGGGCTCAGAAACTATGAGAATTTCTCTTATGCCAACAACCGGAATGTTTTACAACCAACTCTGGAGTCGAGTAAACCGGCAATGGAAAAGCCTTCCTCATCACTTGAAGAGCTTTTGAAGATGTATATTGTGGACTCTAAGGCTCGTCTTGATCAACATGACGCTCCTCTCAACAACATTGAAACTCACTGCACCAATTTGGGAGGCACTATGAAGGCACTAGAAACACAAGTTGGCCAATTGGCTAATGCTATAAAAGGGCAATCATCAAGGTCCTTCCCAAGCAACACCGAGAAGAACCCAAGGGAGCACAAGGCCATCACATTGAGGAGTGGTAAAGAGCTTGAAAGCCCGAGTGTTCAAAACGCCATGGTTGATTAGGAGCCTATCAAGAGTAACGATGATGGTAAGGACAAGTCAAAGGAGGAAAATCTGAAGGCGAAGAAGGAAGCACCGGTGGTTAGACCAGGTTCGATCACTTTTTCGGATAACCCACCTCGTATCACTCCCCCATTGCCATTCCCTCAACGGTTCCAGAAGAAGGCGCTTGATGAGCAATTTGAAAAATTTCTCAATATCTTCAAGAGGATCCACATCAACATCCCCTTCGTGGACGCTCTAGAGCAAATGCCAAACTATGCCAAATTCATGAAGGGAGTTATGTCCAAGAAGCTCAAACTCGAGGACTATGAGACAGTGAAGCTTACAGAAGAATGTAGCGCTATCATAAAGAGACAACTATCGGAGAAATTGAAGGATCCGGAAAGTTTTACCATCCCATGTAAAATTGGCGGGTCAACTTTTGAGAGAGCTCTTTGCGACCTAGGAGCTAGCATAAACCTCATGCCTTTGTCGGTGCTTCGAAAGCTTGGGCTTGGAGAGGTCACCCCTACAACCATCTCCTTGCAAATGGCGGATAGGTCCATTACCTACCCATGGGGAATCATTGAAGACGTATTGGTAAAGGTGGATAAGTTCATCTTCCCCGTTGATTTTGTAGTTTTGGACATGGAAGAAGATCAAGAAATCCCCATTATCCTTGGAAGGCCATTCCTAGCTACCGGAAGGGCTTTAATAGATGTGCACAGTGGGAACTTGACTCTAAAGGTCAATGAGGAGAAAGCCATCTTCAACATCTTAAATCCCAAGAAGTCTCCGCAAGAAAAGCCGACATGCAACCGAGTGGAGGAATTGAAATCTTGTATCAAGGAGTTCACTCAAGAAGTTATGCCGAAAGATTCTTTGGGGAATGGTCCTACCAATTCCCTAACCATAATAAAATTGAGCAATGAACATTGTCCCAAGAAAGATGATGCGGGGGAGTATATTGTAAAGAGGGCTGAAGCCATTGCCACCCCGATGAACAATGAAATGGTGGTGGCCAAGAAGAAAGCCAAGAAGAAGCACGACCAACGAACCTCGTGGCAAGATCTCACTCCGGGCCAACGCGTCCTTCTTTTCAACTCTCAATTGAAGCTCTCCCCTGAAAAGGTGGAGTCAAGATCATCTGGAACATTTAAGATCAAGCGAGTGTTTTCATTCTGTACCATTGAGCTAAAACCAGGAGGATGAAGCCGTGTTCATGTCCAGCTAGGGACGTTAAATCAAGCGCTTCGTGGGAGGCAACCCACATATGATTTTTCGTTGATTCTGTGTCAAATGGGTTCCATTGTAAAAAAAAAAAAGAAAAAAGAAAAAAAAAAGAAAAGAGCAAATCAGGAGAGGGAGACAGAATGACAGGCGATATGTCGTCTGTCAATAGGCGATATGTCGCCTGAAGGTTTTTGCCAGCCATATTAGTCTCCCGGAACCTTATATGGCGAACCCGACGGTGGAATTGATGATGCTGGATGAGGTTTGGCCGATAACACTTAGACCGGCCGTGAGGTATTGTTTTTCTTTCCTTTGCCCTTTGAGTTTTAACGCCGAACAGTGGGGACACTGTTCCTTTTAAGTTTGAGGGAGAGTATCATTTTCTTTTCTTCTGTACCATCGAGCTAGAACCAGGAGGATGAAGTCGTGTTCATGTCCAGCTAGGGACGTTAAATCAAGCGCTTCGTGGGAGGCAACCCACATATGATTTTTCGCTGATTCTGTGTCAAATGGGTTTCATTGTAAAAAAGAAAAAAAAAAGAAAAAAAAAAGCAAATCAGGAGAGGGAGACAGAATGACAGGCGATATGTCACCTGTCAATATGCGATATGTCGCCTGAAGGATTTTGACAGCCATATTAGTCTCCGAGAACCTCAGATGGCGAACCCAACGGTGGAATTGATGATGCTGGATGAGGTATGGTCGATAACACTTAGACCGGCCGTGAGGTATTGTTTTTCTTTCCTTTGCCCTTTGAGTTTTAACGCCGAACAGTGGGGACACTGTTCCTTTTAAGTTTGGGGGAGAGTATCATTTTCTTTTCTTTTGTTATCATCTCTACCTATTGATGTTCTTTTATCATTTTCTTTTCTTTTGTTATCATTTCTACCTATTGATGTTCTTTTTGTAGGGTAGTTAGATTTCAATTTATTTTGATATTTGTATCGAACTGAGTGTTGTATTACATATGACTTTAGGCTTCGATGATGACTTCATGCTAAGCCCTCTTCTTTCATTCAGTATGTGTCTCTATATCTTTGACTGTGTGCTTGATCTATCATGCTTGCTTTTGATGTTGTTATCTCTATTTCTGAGCACATGTCTATCTACCTTTCCTTATTCGATGTGTGGCTTTGTGTGCAATTTTGAGACTTTTTATCGCAATGAGAATGCTAGAACTTACCCAAAGGACTTGTCGAGGTGAAATCCTAGGTCTTTGTTGTGTTGATAGGATAGAGGCCCTCTTTGGACCGTTTGAGCCAAAAAGCTAACCCGAGCAACATATTATCCATAGAGTCCCTCTTTGAGCCGAAACAAAAAAGAAAAAAAAACCAGTATTCATTTGTTTTACTGCCTGATAACTAGAGCCTTGCAATGTATCAAACATTACCTTTACCCACTCACCTTGGCATCACACGTGACCCTTTCACCGAGCATCGAATGCCTGGCCAGCGAGAGTCGTTAAGTGAGGAGTTTTCTGAGACCGTCCTTGAACCTTTATATTCATCCCTCGCCGTTCTAAATGCGAATTTGACTTTGTGTTCCAAAAACAAAAACAAAAAAACAAAACAAAAAACAAAACAAAAAACAAAAAACAAAACAAAAAAAAAGAAAAAAAAAAGAATTCATGTTTGGAGATCGATCATAGTGGGGGATAGTGTTTATGGACGTTACATTCAAAGGTAAAGAGGCGAATCTAGAAGTAAAGGGCATTGGTTTTGGTTCGGTGAACGGAGGAGTCTATTATTGCCACCGTGCTTTGGCAAAGCCAACAATGTGTTTCAATCTTTTTTTAGATTTCTTCGCTCTGCAACTGGCATTTACTACCTTTTGGACCTGAGAATCAGAAACTCTACATTAAAGATCTCAAGTAATGTGTAAAGGAAATATCTGGTGTTCTAAAAGTAATCGTTTAATAATTTCTTATTTATTTTTTATAATATCATAATTTTACGGTCAATACTGCAATGAGTAATTCAATCTTATTATATTTCACTAAGCACATCAAAGAGTAAATTTCTTCTATTATCATTTGGTCAACGCTTATTAAATTTTATATCATTTTATTCTTGCTACTGTTTCTCTAGGAATTTCATCTTTTTAATCTAACATTGTGGATTCAACTTTTTCCTTGGCATTGTGATGAGTGCGTAATTTATGCACTCATTCGTTACTCCTTTAGCTAGTTTTGGCGTGTTTTTCCTCAAGTTATTATGTGGATTTGATGACTTTCCCTTGAATGTGTAGGAAAGGGTGAAATCGCTGAGTTTTGAGGCATTTTGGATAAAAAAGACAGAGAACGAGGCGATATGGCGCCTTCAGATGGCGATGCGACTCGAAAAGGAGCAAAATCGAGCAACCCTATGCGAAGGACCAGAGAGGGATGCGATATGTCGCCTCCTTTGTGGAGATATGTCGCCTCCTTTAGGCGATATGTCGCCTATTCTAGGGGATATGTCGCCTGATTTACCCGATTTTATTAGAAACACGCGTTTTGCCCTAGTTTGGTGCAGGGACTTTTATGGAAAGTGAGAATTAGCTTCTTGGGGATGTGTTGGACATGGAATATAAGGAGGAGAGGCCGAAAACCACGGAGAGGAGGAGAAAAAAGGTTTACAAAAGAAGAAAAACTGAATCGGAAAGGATTGGAGGGAAATTCCAGCGATTCTTCAAGAATTCCAAGTGTTCTTCGTTCTCTTCTTATCTTTCTTCTTGTATTTTTCTGAGTTTTGAATATTATTTTGAGATTGTGAACCACATGATGTGTGGCTAATTTTCTTATTTGTTAGGGTTTAGATGAATCTCTATTTGTGATTATTGTTTCGACGTTTTAATGTGCATTTAATTAAGCTCTTTTTTTCTTCCGTGTTTTATTTTGAATTATTGCTGCTAAATCTATGATTTACATATTGCCATGCTTTATGAGATTTTGAATTGGGCAGATTTTTATTGTAAGGATTAATACTCGAGAGGGGAACGTTCAAGCAATCAAGAAACGGATAGAACAACTTAGGTTGGTGTGAGATCGAGAGATAAACATTGCCTAGGTAACCGAAACAATTTTAGGTTGTGAAATTGAGAAGTGGAATTCCAGGAATTATTTCTAGAGTGGAACTTAATGAAGGTAGGGATGAATAGTTGTATAGAGATATAGGCTTGATATCACCTACACATTCTTTATGCGGCACTCGAGAGAGGGTATAAAGATATACATCACTCTAGGTTCTTGAGAACGTTGAGTTAGGTTAGGCACATTACTACGGAGAAACATAATCGCAATAGAGTGAAGTCAAAACCCTAGCATTTTTATCATATTAATTTTTCGTTCTAATTTCAACACGTATTATTAATTACTGTCATCTTTCCTTTTGATTTAGTTTTCCTTTATTTTAGATTTTCTTTGAGTTTATCACATCCAAATTTGATCGCTTAGATAAAGTTAAGATATGATATTCATAATAGTTAGTTTATATTCTTAACGTCAATCCTCATGGGATGATATCGGTCTTCGGACCACTTTATTACTTGTACGACTTGTGCACTTGCAAGCATAGTCAAATTATATTGCAACAAGTTTTTAGTGCCGTTGTCGGGGATTGAATGGCTAAGAATTAGATTACTATAGTGAAGAAATATCTTGTTTTAATCTAAGTTTTTTTTATTTGTATTTATTTATCTATTTTTCTTTTGTTGTGTTCGTAGGTGCATGCAAAAAGCACGTGGCTCGGAACTCTTGCCTTTGGATTCAGAAATCGAACGAACTGTTCGAGCATTAATGAGAGAACGATGAGCTAGGGCTAAGAACATGGCCGAGGAACAAAACCAAGCAGACCAGCAATGGACGTTGCGAGATTATTTCAAGCCCGTAGTGAACGAGAATTATTCGGGCATCCAACGTCAACAAGTCAATGCCAACAACTTCGAGCTCAAGCCGGCCCTCGTCAACATGGTCCAGCAGAACCAATATGGAGGCTTGCCGCACGAGGATCCCAAAAGGATAGGGATTCAGGTTTTTTTAACCCAAAAGGATAAGGGCCCAAAAGTTTTAAAAAGCCCAAAGTACCCAAACCCTTAATGACTAGGAAAAACCCCTAATAACAAAAGAACCAGACCAGCCAGGTCGCACAACCGTATCTCTCATCCTCCTTCTTCTTATTCGCACGGTCGCATCTCTCCTTCACATTTTCCTCTGCTGTATCAAGCAGAACCAGCTGTAGTATAGAAGAAAACAGAGCAAGTTGACCCTTCAAGTGAGGTATCTCTCTTCTCTTGACTTGACGTGTTCCTATCTTCTCTGGAGCAGTGCACCGTGAACCATTTTTTGGGTTTAATGTGTTTTTTTTCTTAAGTTAGGATGAGACCTCCACAAAATGCCAGTGGTAGTCGTAGTGGGAGATGGGACTCGGCTTGGAAATATGGAAATAAATTACATCAGAAAATGACAAAAGGACTTATGTTTACCTCCAATGTGTGTTTTGCAATCAAATTATTAGTGGAGGTGTTAAGAGAATGAAAGAGCACCTTGCTTGCACTCATAAGAATGTAAAGCCTTGTCCTAAGGTTCCTAATGATGTGAAGAAATAAATTAATGACTATATAAACAAGTGGCATGCTAAAAAACAGTCAACACATCAAAATTTTGAAGAAATGGTTGGTGTTGGCTCTTATTTTCGTGATGAATTTATCAACTCTTGCCAACCGCCGCAAGTGGTTATTGATCAAGGAGTTAAAGGTCCCATGGACAGGTTTTTGAACAATGTGGATGATAGGAAAGCAAACGAAAGACCTTCCCTTACAATGAAACCAAGTGAGAAAGAGGCTTTTTCTCGAGTATGTCTCGACATTGGTAGGTTCTTTTATGAAAATGCACTTGCTTTCGATATTGCTACGAGCCCCTCCTATTTTAATATGTGTAGATCAATTGGCAACTATGGTAGAGGTCTTGTACCCTCAAGTATGCATGAGCTTAAAATAAGGAT